CCTCTTACGATAACATAAGACACTCATTCTGACTAAAGCGATTTAGTTTACAACCACAGCACCTCTCTTCGAAAAGCTCATAAACCTCGCAAGAAACAGTTTGTGCAAATATTGTCTCTAACAAATTGCATAGCTTCCGAAATTCCATAGGCGAAACTTCGTCAACATTATTCGACCTTGAAGAACGCATACTTGGTCAGGACATGTGCAATACAATTACATAATGCTTACTAAACTGGACGTACACTAAGTACGAACTCTTGGACGAACGCTTGGACGAACGCTAAGTACGAACGCTTGGACGCACGCTAAGTACGAACGCCCGGACGTACACCCCCCGTTGACGTCATTCGCTTGAATCATTTCTGTACCTGGATGGGGGGGGGGGGTTACCTACTGCTAGTCTATATTTTTGTTCAGACAATTGCGTAATTTGATACAATATGATCGTGTTTGACTCCAAAGGCCCATAAATCGCTACAATGTTGATAATGACTATAACTATAGGAAGGAATTACCTGAATCTTGTATTCCTGAATCGAATGGTGGTATTTCTGTCTTCATAGCATGCACTGAACCGAAGATATTAAATTTCTTGCAATCGTTCAGTGCTGATCGACGCAACTGGGATGTGGTGATATTTCTGTCTTCATAGCATGCACTGAACCGAAGATATTAAATTTCTTGCAATCGTTCAGTGCTGATCGACGCAACTGGGATGTGGTGAAAAAGAGTTTTTAACTGCACCAGTGCATTTGCACCGTATCAATTATTCAAATGTGCTACTGTTTATTAACAGGTTGGTTTGGAAGAGTTAAGAATGCAATTGTCCTGTTTTAAAATTTGGAATGCATGGGCAAAATTTAAACAAACTTTTGACCGATTTTTTCCACTCCATGAAATCTCCTTAGTCTTTTCGATGCTGATTTTCCCGCTCGTCGGCTTCAACGAATCACAGGTCTTCATCATGGGGCATGGGCTTTTATCATAGGAGTTATCATTCTAGTTTACTTATAGTTCAATGGTCACTCGACGCTTGTATTCTACACGCATGCGCAAACAAAATTACCACTTCTGCAATCTCGTTCCCCAAGCATACCCGTTCGCAGGTTAAGAGTGGGCATAGCTCTAGAGAAATCAGATTGATTCACGTTGAATTTCCAACGTGAGTTATACGCATGCTCGGCAATTGTTGCAAAATATAAATAAAGTATTTAAAATTTCGCGTCGAAAATTTGATACTTTTTACTAGCTACACTGAAATCGAATTGAAAACAACAAAAAAATCTGGGGTAAATATGTACGAAAGCTGCGGTTGGATAGGGATACAACTACCTGAAAAATACAAGGAGAGTTTCCACGTTTCGAGCGAAAGCGCTTCGATTTGTACTGTTAGTGTTTGTATACATCGTACTTGACCTTTGCTGATAAATATAATCTCCCCAAGAATAAGTATTATATATTTTTATGCTTTAAAATTTACATTTAACTCCTCTGTCAGAATTCAGAATTCATGGTATACGTAGTGTTAGGTATGACAGTATAAAAGGTCAAGTACGATGTATACAAACACTATATTAAACAGCAAGAGTCGAAGCGCCTTCACTCGAAACTGCAATAGGCATTCATTTTCATGTTGTTTTTCGCTCCGGGCCGTAGCGAGGGACGGTTGAGGTTTAACCTACCCCCCCCCCCAATATTTTTAGAATAATTAGGAAAATCGGGTAGGCCATTCGGAAAATTATGGCAGTAATAGTATAACGAAATTTTAGTTGTTAAACAGAGAAAATATTATGGAATTGTATTGTCAGTATAATGACTGATTGAATTATGGCATTTACATGCATAACAATTTACAAATCGTAAATCGGTGAATGTTTTTCGGTTTATACTGGAAGAAAAAGTGCGTATTCCCACGTATTTCCGTCTCTATATGGGTCGGAATAAAATACATATTCCGACCCGTATTGCGAGTCGGATTATGGGCAGGAATATCACCAATATTCGGTGATATTCCGGGTTTGAATACGGTCATGAATATTGCAGATATTCCTGGGGTACTTACGCCTGGAAATACTCCCAGAATACGGGCTGTATATTTTACCTCCAAATTCATGCCTTAATTAGTATTAATTAAACATAATTCAATGCAAGATCAGTAAACTCAATGTTTTTAACACGTTAAAATATTCTTATTGTTAAAAACAGTGAGTTTACTGATCTTGAATTACGCATAATTTTAAAAACCATCAATCAAAAGGCTGAACTGTGCCTTTTAGTGACATCAGGAAAACATTATACGGCTTGACGTTAAATTCAGCTTATATCGGGTTTTAATTGTTAAATTCAGCTTATATCCGGAAGTTGAAAAGACAGTCAGAAGCCAGTAGAGACAGCTTAGAAATTTACGTTTCGACTATATTTCAGTCATCGTCATAGTTTACAGCTTAGAAACGTTTGTGTTATATATTCTTATATTGCGTCGTAAATGCTTTAATAGAGTTTTGTATTGAACCCGGTCAACAGAGTTCAACCCCGGTGTTGAAAATGCTTCATTTAATCGGCCCCTTATAAAACACTAATCCCTGAGGAAATTATAGTGTGCCCCTCAAATCCTAATACGGCATGAGTAACTGTTTATGAATCAAGTTGTATGAACATTTATATTGAATTGAGGCAGCCCAGATAGCAGAAATAGGCCTAAAAATACCTGTGGTTCTGGTTTCCCAACCGACCATACTTTTTTTCTGCCAACCCTATTATTTTTTCGATGCGGCTAAACATGCAGCCCTATTTTCTCTGTGTGGTTGTGGGCTGCTCATACAAGTACAGCATGCCAAAATGGCATCTGTTGTCACAATAATTATTGATTAGTGATTTTTGAAAAAGTGTTACCTGAATTGATAGTTCAGCCAGACTTTCTGCCCAAATCTCAAATATTTTACTCTGGGACATCCCCCACAAAAAATTTGGTTAAAAAAATACCACTGGTCGCAGTAAACGCAAGGGCAGATTTTCATTTATTTAAAAGGAGGGGTAGAAAAATTTCTGGTGGGTTGCAAGCGGCAGTACTCGGTGAGCTTCGGCAGGGTTAGGCGTTTGGGTTAAAGCCTTTCATGCAAAATAGGAGGGGTGAAGCAAAATTTTGATGGGGTTGAACTCCCCCCCCCTAACCCCCCCCCCAGTAACTCCACCCATGAGTAAACGACTTAACTCTTTAAATTAACAGTAATGCTTATTAATTCCAATATTCTGCAGTTGGTGATGTATTCGTTTATCTCATATTTATTTGATGGCTTATCCATGCAGGGTTTCCATTTAGTTATAGGCTGGATCGATATCGCAAATACCGAATACCGATATACCGCAATCAGAATACCGGTAAATACCGGTATTCCGGTATTTTTAACGTGTTTTTTTTTAAGCCAAACTGAAGTGCTGACCGTCAAGAAAAATCAAGTTTTGACAAAATATTAATGTGGCAAATACTGTTATTAGTGCAAATGTCACAAGATTCGCATTATCAAGCTATGTTAACAATTAACAGCGCTAAGCGGCATTATTAGTAGGGCGTCGAAGTGTTGAATCATTCAAAAAAATATTCGTTTTGTATAGCTATATAAATTCAGATAGTGTTTCAGTAAGCAGCTACATGTAATAGTTATAAACATAAAAAACGTTGCATTTTTAAAACTAACACATAAACAAGTTAGCATGTCAGTTAAATAAGATTAAAAACAACAAAAAGTTACCTTCTTATACTGCCCGATAAAAAAAGTTGAAAAGCCAGAAAAGGTTTTCATGCATGTCATGCATCTGTGAGTATTAACTTTGCTTTCTAAACGAGATTGTAAGCAAGTTTGACTTGAAATAGCGTTTCATTTCGGTATTAGGCAGCAAAATACCGAAATGTCGGTATATCGGTATTTTTAAATTGTCAATATCGCCAAACCGGTATCTAAACAAATACCGGTATATCGAATATATCCAGTATATCGATCCAGCCTATTTAGTTACTAGGAATTTGCCATATTATGTGATGATTGGAATGTGTGACTTCAGTAAAAAAGTGATTTTGAGAAAAATAGTCGGTTTTCTGACCTAAATAATATTCCCCTTCATCATTTCACCTGAGATATGCCCAAACATATAAATTTACGGGGGAAAACACAATAAAATTCTTACAACAATGTCAATGTATTTATTCTAATTTCAGAGCAGATTCGCCAACAAACCAAGAAAAGATTAAAAGTATCGCCAAAGAAGTTTATTTAACTCAAAAAAGCTTGGGCAAAAAACTGCCTATAATACAGCCAAAGGTTTTTTGTACCTATACCGCAATTCTTAATATTTAATCTAGGCTACATTCTTTTGGAATGTGCGTCACTCTGGGTATAGTGCCTCCCTTTCATGATTGAGATATAAAGCTTTAACTAGTAATTTCAAGAACATGAAGACAAGGCTATGTACAGTCAAAAATGATGTACTTTCCACAAAAGAAGTTCTAATTTGATATCATTCACATCACCAATGATTGAAATATTTTATATGTAGCATTCATTTCAGTGCATCATATACTTTCTTCATGAAATATATGAAAATATAACACTTTCAAATATAATTTTGATAAAATGCATGAACTTTTTTTCTCCAAATTTACCTTAATGATCCTTTTTCTCTTAATTTATTACATAAAGCAGATTAATATATACCATTATATAAAGTAGATTATAGCTCTGTACCACACCGAATCATATTAATAATAATTATAAAATTGTATATCGGGCAATCTTATTCGTATGCAAACATATCTAGGCTACCATTGTATCAAGTAAATTTAAAATTCACTAAGTGTATCTGTTTTTGTATTTATACAATTATGTTAACTAAAATTGGCTCGTGTCCTACCACTGCATAAAGTAAATTTAAAATTCACTAAGTGTATATGTTTTTATATTTATACAATTAAGTTAACTAAAATTGTAATGGAACAATATGGCTCGTGTCCTGATGTGTCGTCTGAATGCACACAGATTTACCATTGCATAAAGTAAATTTAAAATGCTCTGAGTGTATATGTTTTTATATTTATCCAATTATAAGTTCGAGATTAAGTTAACTAAAATTGTAATGGAACAATCTGGCTCGTGTCCTGATGTGTCGTCTGAATGCACACAGATTTACCATTGCATAAAGTAAATTTAAAATGCTCTGAGTGTATATATGTTTTTATATTTATCCAATTATAAGTTCGAGATTAAGTTAACTAAAATTGTAATGGAACAATCTGGCTCGTGTCCTGATGTGTCGTCTGAATGCACACAGATTTACCATTGCATAACGTATTTCTAAACTATTATTTTCTAAAGCAAAGACGCTATATGTGTCTTGAAATATATGGAACAATTCAAACATAACCAACTTGTGATGGTACTAATCTGGCTCGTGTCCTGATGTGTCGTCTGAATGCACACAGATTTACCATTGCATAAAGTAAATTTAAAATGTTCTGAGTGTATATGTTTTTATATTTATCCAGTTATAAGTTCGAGATTAAGTTAACTAAAATTGTAATGGAACAATCTGGCTCGTGTCCTGATGTGTCGTCTGAATGCACACAGATTTACCATTGCATAACGTATTTCTAAACTATTCTTTTCTAAAGCAAAGACGCATATGTGTCTTGAAATATATGGAACAATTCAAACATAACCAACTTGTGATGGTACTAATCTGGCTCGTGTCCTGATGTGTCGTCTGAATGCACACAGATTTACCATTGCATAACGTATTTCTAAACTATTCTTTTCTAAAGCAAAGACGTCTATATGCGTCTCGAATTATATGGAACAATTCAAACATAACCAACTTGTGATGGTACTAATCTGGCTCGTGTCCTGATGTGTCGTCTGAATGCACACAGATTTACCATTGCATAACGTATTTCTAAACTATTCTTTTCTAAAGCAAAGACGCTATATGTGTCTTGAAATATATGGAACAATTCAAACATAACCAACTTGTGATGGTACTAATCTGGCTCGTGTCCTGATGTGTCGTCTGAATGCACACAGATTTACCATTGCATAACGTATTTCTAAACTATTATTTTCTAAAGCAAAGACGCTATATGTGTCTTGAAATATATGGAACAATTCAAACATAACCAACTTGTGATGGTACTAATCTGGCTCGTGTCCTGATGTGTCGTCTGAATGCACACAGATTTACCATTGCATGACGTATTTCTAAACTATTATTTTCTAAAGCAAAGACGCTATATGTGTCTTGAAATATATGGAACAATTCAAACATAACCAACTTGTGATGGTACTAATCTGGCTCGTGTCCTGATGTGTCGTCTGAATGCACACAGATTTACCATTGCATAACGTATTTCTAAACTATTGTTTTCTAAAGCAAAGACGTCTATATGCGTCTTGAAATATATGGAACAATTCAAACATAACCAATTTGTGATGGTACTAATCTGGCTCGTGTCCTGATGTGTCGTCTGAATGCACACAGGTTGGCCATTGCATAACGTATTTCTAAACTATTAGTTTCTAAAGCAAAGACGTCTATATGCGTCTTGAATTATATGGAACAATTCAAACATAACCAACTTGTGATGGTACCAATCTGGCTCGTGTCCTGATGTGTCGTCTGAATGCACACATATTTACCATTGCATAAAGTAAATTTAAAATGCCCTAAATGTATATGTTTTTATATTTATCCAATTATAAGTTCGAGATTAAGTTAACTAAAATTGTAATGGAACAATCTGGCTCGTGTCCTGATGTGTCGTCTGAATGCACACAGATTTACCATTGCATAACGTATTTCTAAACTATTATTTTCTAAAGCAAAGACGTCTATATGTGTCTTGAAATATATGGAACAATTCAAACATAACCAGCTTGTGATGGTACTAATCTGGCTCGTGTCCTGGTGTGTCGTCTGAATGCACACAGATTGGCCATTGCATAACGTATTTCTAAACCATTATTTTCTAAAGCAAAGACGTCTATATGCGTCTTGAATTATGTGGAACAATTCAAACATACATGTTTCGCTCGCTACTCTGGTTTAAATAAATGATTACAAAGCGCAGTCGAATTGTAATCAAGACCCAACGTTTCGACACTCCAGTCTAGTGTCTTCATTAGGGGTGATCTAAAACTGCGATCGTAGCTTCTTAAATACCCAAGGGATGACGTCATAACCAACTTGTGATGGTACTAATCTGGCTCGTGTCCTGATGTGTCGTCTGAATTAAGTTGGCTAAAATTGTAATGGAACAATCTGGCTCGTGTCCTGATGTGTCGTCTGAATGCACACATGTTGGCCATTGCATAGCGTATTTCTAAACCATTATTTTCTAAAGCAATGACGTCTATATATATGCGTCTTGAATTATATGGAACAATTCAAACATAACCAACTTGTGATGGTGCTAATCTGGCTCATGTCCTGATTTGTCGTCTGGATGCACACATGTTGGCCATTGCATAGCCGCCATAGCATATTTCTAAACCATTTTCTAAAGCAAAGCCGTCTATATGTGTCTTGAAATATTTGGAACAATTCAAACATAACCAACTTGTGATGGTACCAATCTGGCTCATGTCCTGATGTGTCGTCTGAATGCACACAGATTTACCATTGCAATAAAGTAAATTTAAAATTCACTAAGTGTATATGCTTTTTATAATTGTACAATTAATTAAGTTAACTAAAATTGTGATGGGGCCATCTATCTCGTATCCTGATGTTGGTCATTGATACTGGCTTGTGTGGTGAGATGTGGTTCGAATGACCAGACTATGTATTGCAAAACGTCTTTTTTCGAAAATTTATTTTTGTATGATTGCAGATGCTGTTAAAATTCATTTTCAATCGCGGACGAAGTTGGCACGCAATCCAATTACACCAAGAAAGAAACTCAGGATGTGTATGCGAAGTAGGAGAGAAGGGTATTAATATTTTATTGATTGCTGTTGTTGTTGTTGTTGTTGTTGTTGTTGTTGTTGTTGTTGTTGTTTTAATGTCGATAAGTGCATTGGTAAACATATTGTATTTTGGGGGAAGGTAAAATTTTCCTTGCCAAATAGCCGTAATTTAATTGGGTGTTGTATAATCAAGATTGTAACACTTATTTATTTCAATATTTATTTAATTCGCCTACTTTTTCACTAATGACGTTCAGGGCTATCCTCTTTACTGCGCCGGAATACATTAATAATATGTTTAAATTCTGTGAGAATAGTACATACAATATGAGAAGCAATAGATGGAAGCTCGCATTGGGCAAACCCAGTTGAAACTTTATGAAAAAAAGTTTCTCGTACCGGGGCGCTGTCGCCTGGAATAATTTACCAGATGTCTTAACTAAGGCCAATGAGCAATTTTCAAATTTTGCTTGATAAATATTTTTACGAATTGAATGACGTTTGAAATCTGCTCTAATTCCTCTTTTTAACGAGAATAAGGATTTGTTCTTAAAATTTAACTATAGAGCATGTATTTGACGTTATTTTCATTGTATTTGTATATACCTAGATTAGTTTGTAGTTTGAAAAGTTAATTTGTAAATAATTACTGTCGTTCCAATTGAAGTGTTCCTCAAATATTGATTCAATACATTACCTCAGGCTGACCAATTCATTTCATCAAGTTCCTCGAGATATTGATACACTTCCTGTGAAAGAGCCAATTCCAAGAATTTGATCATTTCTGGTCACTTCCTTTCTATTTATGATTGGTTAG